AACATGTACGGAAACCATACATGGTAAGCTTAAAGAATGTCACATACGTTGCCCCAGGGAAAAAAAAAATATTATTGCTGTAGTATTTTAAACAACTATCAGTCTCACCAAGTGACTTTATTAAGAGACTAGGCCATTTTACCCTTTACAGAATTTATTTTGACACACCACCACACTGCAGATCAGGTGGTGGAAGTGAGAACTTGTTCACCGATCGAATTAATGGAGAAATGTAAGAAGCTGCAGGTAAAAGCCTAGGGCAGAATTTAGCCAGGATACCAAAATGAATACTGCTCCTTTCACGAAGAGTGCCATTCTGGCCCATAGATTTGGGCATTCTTGTGCAGGGTGAAGAGTATCACTTGCTGTACTACTAATGCCACTAGTAACAACCTGGTTTTCTTATCCCAGTACCGGTGACGCACAACTTTCCTTTGCTTCTGATATCTCAAAAGATCTCAAAACAAACTGTAAATATAAGGTGGAAAATCCATAGATTTAATGGTCTAATTCTAAATGTGGGTGTTTAAGTTGACATATCATTCATATCTTCTAGATAATGTAGAAAAATAAAAATGCAAACAGAACAGTAGTAGATAGAGTAAAAAGGGTTGATTTAAATCATTGGATACTACTGTATGTTTTTGACATTGTACAATGCACTAGGAAGTGTCAACTGTTCATTGCAAGAAGGATCATTGTGCACAATTTGGGTCACAATATTATAAAAAATATATTGCTACTTCAGACTTAATCCAGAGAAGAGACACTCTTAGGCTTAAGCCAAAGTCCTGGGCAGACAGGGTTGAAAAATTGAATTGAATCTCTTTAGGGGGACCTGATTTTAGTATCCCAAGTTTTCTTAGTCAAGTTAAGAAAGTCAATACAATGGACTTCTTCTGAATCAACTATGAAAAATGAACCAGAGGAGTAAAACTGGAAGCTTCAAGGAAGTGCATTCAAAATTGAAAAGACATAACAGTTCCACACGTTCTGTGGGAATATGGAACAGGCAAACAGCCATCTTGTTAAAGGTGACATCCTGGCTTCTTTCAGGAAAAGGGTGGATGAGATCTTCGCTTTAATTAGCCACTAGCAACTGAAGCTAACTGGGCCAAATTCCCGTCTCTGGTTTGTAATGAGAAGTTCTTGTTACAGTACATGAACAGTAATATTTTAGAAAGATCAGGTAATTTGCCCTCAAATTCAGTCAATAGCTCTTTAGAGTTTTTAACCTGTTCGTGGAGAAAAAGCAACGCCAGCACACTTATTTATGCCCGAGTAAGTGAAAGCAAGCAAACTATTGTGTGTCGTATTGTGATTTCCAAGGAATAAAATATTAAGCAGGTTGGCGGATTTTTATTAGTAGTTGCATTATGCTAAGTCATAATGCCCAGAAGCACATGTTTTGGGAAGATAAGGTGCTGTGTAGAGTACTGGTGTATGCCAAGTTCATCCTGTGCCTCATTAAAAGAGAAGTCACTTTTGCTCTGTGCAGAGATGTTTTTTATGAATCTTGGCATTTTCTTCCAGAATTGAGGTCAGGCATGTCAGTGTGAGTGATATGCGTTTTATCTTCATACCCCAGTCGTGCAGGGTCAAGTATCAGCAGATGAAGAAGAATTGAAGTGTTTGTTTAGGCTTTGTGTGGGGGAACAGCCTTGGAATACCGAATGTAACTCCTTTGTACTGAGAAAATGGGCTGCAAAACTGTATTTAACCACAGAAGTGTTTCAGTCGTCATTAGCATCTAGCACACTTTATGCAAGAAACAACAAAGGCAAACAAATAGGGCATTTGTTTACTAGGCAAAGGCTAGCCTAGACTAAATCAAAGATTCTTACGCTACAAGTATTTGCATTTTTTACAGCAGATGTTTTTGTGCCGATGCAGAAAATGTGTCTCGGACACATTAAACACTTGAGTATCGGCATCAAAAACTGGGAGTCAGTATCCTAATGCCATAATGCAGCGATGGACCAAATAATTTTGTTCTAAATAATAGAATTCTTATTCTAAATATTTAATTCAGCCAACAGTGTTCTGTGACTGGGCTACACTGCAGTTTCAATTACAGAAGACTGTAAACACCGTACACATGGTGATTCAGATGGTAGCATTATGACTAGAACAGTGGTATCTGCTGTACAACCTGCCTGACACATCGAAAGTGTTTGTGTGAGTAAATACATAATTTAATCTCATATGTAAGACTAGGCAAAGTTGAGTTAAAGATGTTTTTAATTGAGGTTGGGGGAGGCAGAAGGATAAAGGGAAACAGGGAAAACAGAAACAGACAGCACTTTAAATTGACATTCAAATAGTGTTCCGCTGCATTTAATAGCATAATGAGTGAAACATATACAGTTTGTTAATAACACTTGCTACAGATGCCTGAATCAGAATGCTCACGATAGCTGAGACTCTGGGGGGCCCGTTTCAAAGTGAAAGCTGTCTCTGTCAAGCCTACCTTTCCAGCTGTTTGTGCTATCACCCATTTCAACCACACTGTGGAAAAAAGAGATGCGGAAAATCCATATCCAGCAGCCATGCTCGCTGTAGAGCGCCACGCCGCAGGGACAGGTCTCCGATCTGGATTCTACACCTGGCTCTTCCGACTTTTCCACAGTGTGAACAGGGACCATCTCTTATCTCCACTGTCCAGTTAGTGGAGAACAGTTCCGCCGTCGTTGGGAGGAATGTTTTCAGAAAACGGGAATTCCAGAAAAGCAGAGAAACACAGGACAGGGTAACACAAAAGAGTGGTCAAGAAGAGCTGGAAAGGTTAGCTTTAATCAAATAATAGAATGCAAGGATGCACAGCAAAATGGAATGCTTCAAATACAATTTAAATTATTGAACTACTATTTTTTTTAATTATATGATTGTGAGACAGTCTGCACTCCTGAATGCACTGTGATAGAGAAATATTACCAGATTAAGGGAGAAATTCACCAAGCTCTTCTGAGCCATATGCATGCAACAGGTTATTGACAATCCAGGAGTGGGTTGTTGGACCAGGTCTCTTTCTAGAGGAGTTACTAAGTGATGGTTTTCATTGACTGTCACACAGGTGTTCACTGGCATGGGTAAGGAAAGTCATTATCATTTAAAACAAAGATGTTTGACAAAACCGGCCTTATTTCCACACCTGCAGAAGGTGCACTGCAGTTGCTTCATACTGTGGGTCTTTCATGGGAAATCAGGTCAGACCTTACAGGTTTTACATTATACGATGAATAAAATATCCTAAATAACAGGTAGGAGCACTTGGAAAGACGGTTCACTCTGTCATACATATGTTCATAGGATGTTAATGTCTGCAACTTCCAAATGTACTAAATCAGTTACAGTAAAGCTCTGAAAACCTCTATATGTGCATTTTAGCAAACTGGGTCTTATATAAGTAACAGCACTTTTAACAAGCATTAATAAATTGCTTGTCTGTTGTGAGTGTGAATAGGATGGAACCACCCAGAAAAACAGGAAGACTTTTTTCTTTTCTCTATAAGAAGGGTGTAATGTACGAAATGTGTTTAGTGAATACCTTCTTTTGTGATGAAACGTGGGAATGCCGACCTTCTTAGGAAAAAGAGGCATGATCACTTGTGTCATCAAGAAACAACGCTTATAACTTCAGTGACCAGTCACGCTATCAAGGCTGAGCATTTCGTACAGTACATGTATGCGCACGCCTGTCATCGGAACCCACGCGCATTCAGCAAGTGCACGCATGCTCATGTGTACAGTACCCACAGTCCTGTGCATCGAGAGGAGCACCCTGTTGCCGGTTTTAAAAGCACTTCCACTTGGGTTCGTTTTTGACTCCTCGCTCTGGAGAAATCTCCTGGGGCGACTGGCACTGTCTTTCTGAATATTAAATACTTGTAACAGGTCTCCATCTCACAATACGTGACTCCCAGGAGGATTTGAGAGTGCTTCTTTGTGGTCCTAAACAGATGGGTTTCCATCTAAGGGGAAATGGTTCTCTCGGTGTCGAACAGGACCCTGAGCTGTTGCTGGCTGAAGCGTGCTGCCTAGCGGAGGAAAGATGGACAGGGACTGGAGCAGGTGGAGCAGACAGATGTCATTATATCTTGAGGAACCTTTCCCTCACGTCCACCAGATTGATTTTAGAACAAACAGCAGGTCTCGGAAGCTGCGAGGAAGTTTTATGTCTTGTGGTTTAGCAATGCTGAGTTTTAAAGGGTTCATGCCTGGCTCTGTGTTTAAATTGAAATGGTCAGCAAAAGAGGGTTCACTGGGGGCACCTGGTGCTCAAGGAAGCTATCGGCTCTGTGCAAAGATTCAGCTGTGAGTCTGAAAGCAAGCTGTGTTGTTTAAAGATACTGTGGATGAACTATTGTGCTTTCAAGCAGAACAGGAAACTTTTCAGAATGTGATGCACACTGGCGTTAGTTAGGTCTGTGTATGAAGGAAAAACACTTCAAAGGAGCTTCAGTGTTGAACAGAGATACATTTTTCTCATAGTTTTCTTTATTCCGTTTGTTTATACTTAGAAGTCTACTCCAACTTTGACTCAGAAATAAGACTTTGTGGTATATTAAAATGACTCTTTGTATTTGTAGAATAAACTCTATGTCCTTTTGGAATGTTTTTGCAGTTTGCCATAGAAAAGCTTATTGTTCCCAGAACTTTTTTTTTTTACATTTTATTATACTTAACTGGGTTATTGAAATGACATCACTTTATTAAACCCTTTACAATTTCTGAAGATGAAACTGAATGCTCATATGAAGAAATGAAGTCAAGGAATCGGTACAGAAGCGTAATCTTTACAAATCTGATCTTTACCCCAAAATCCTTAGATGGAAAATAGTCGGTCAGTAAGAGATGAAGGATGTTGGAAAAACAAAACACACACACACACACAAACACTGACCTGCAGTATGGTAAGAAGCCAAAGGGAGAATTGCAGACTCCTCCTGTCCGCGGAGAAGCGGTCCCTAAACACCCCGCAACTCTCCTTCCTCCTGCAGGCTACTTCCCCCGGGCGCGGAGCAACAGGGCCCTGCCGTCCCAGCGCACTTTCCAGGGGTGCATGCAGCTGATCCACGTCGACGACCAGCTAGCCGACCTGCACGCCGTGGAGCAGGGCAGGCTGGGCAGCTTCGAGAACGTCAGTATCGACATGTGCGCCATCATAGACCGGTAAGGCACAGCCCACAGCCCCCGGGGACCCGCTCTTCCGAGCCGCGGCCGGTATCGTGTGGCGCGCACCCCGCTCCCCGAACTGCGCCGCGCAAACCTGCTTCGGGATGTTTGATTCCTGCTGGGGATGCTGCGTGCGGGTGTTGGCGTTTTTGCTTCTTCCGATGTGGATTAAAAAAAAAAAGTTGGTGCGTTTAATCTCAAGAAATCTGGGCAACATCATTTGTGCTGGGTTTTTTCTCTTTTGTACCTGATCCTGGAAATTAACAGTGCTACACAAATTTATTATTATTATTATTATTATTATTATTATTATTATTATTATTATTATTAATAATAATAATAATAATAATAATAATAATAATAATAATAATAATTCTTCCCTACACTTATATAGCGCTTTTCTGGACACTCCACTAAAAGCGCTTTACATGGAAATGGTGTCTCTCCTCCACCTCCACCAGTGTGCACCCCCAACCTGGATGAGGCATTTCATTTAATTTTCCCTAAGGTAACTTGCAAACGAGTGCTTGGGTTGTAAGGTAGTGCTTGGGAGGCGACCAACACAAAAATCACCAGGAAAAAGAACGGCATTTTACAAACTCTGACATTAGGTTAACGTTTAAATTAAAAAAGACCTCAAGCAGATATAAAAAACGGAACATAGTGTATACTGCCAGCAGAGAGGCTGCGGGAGTCGTATTTCTTCACGAAATTCTAATTGAAACTCTACCAAATCAATAAACATTTCACCGCGTCTATTGAGACCCGTGAAGACTTCCCAAAACATGTGACACCTTCCCCTGCCGGGTGTGTAATCGACAGTTTGATAGTCTGTCAAGTCTTCCTGGGATCAAACAGCAGGGGTCCAGCCGCCCCAGCCGGGCCCAGAAAGAGGAAGCCAAGAAACTCGATCAGTTTCCTGAATGCAACATGCCTCCATTAAGAACAGTACAAATAATGTTCTCAGAAACATGCATCTGAATTTGTTAGAACTTACAAAGGAAATACAAACGGACAGTAGTCCCATAACAGGGGTTAAATCCTCCTTAGCTCCAGAGAAAACATCTGCATTCCCAAGATAGGTTCGATATAGAGCCCCCTAGAGGTTATTTTTTAATTGTTCCTAATCAGATTTTTAAAGTAACCCAATTTCTGTTTCAGTTGTTTTTAATCAGTTTTTTTCTGTAGTTTTCACAGCCATTTAAATCGAATTGTTGCATTGGGAATTGGCGTTGCGCTCTCCTGGGAACAGTTTTATTACAGTCGCTAATTTTATTTGCTCCTTACGGTGTGCTTGCTTCCTGCCAGCAACGCGGAATTATTAGACGGCGAATAAATGGAGAGAAACCAGGCCTTCTGCATCTTTAGTTAACTATTAATAAGAAATAATCAGATGGTTTATTGCGCTTAATGAAGCGTGAGCTGCAGAAGTGTGAACGGTCTTTCCTATTCTTTTCTGTAGCTAATTCTAAAGGGTAATACTTTTATTTTAGAAATATTTTTAATAGTTTCGGTGTAAACTATATGAATATTTCGGGTTGTATTATATAACCATGCACAACAGATATTCAATATATGCATATTTTATTTCAAAATATTAGAATTGCCATTAAATATTATTATCTTTTAGAATGTTTATTAATGTGGTTTTATAGATACATATTTTATATTGATATAAATAGACTTACTTGCTATTTAAAATATTAGATTATCTGTGATGTACTTTAATCACTTTTTTGTTCTGCATTAATTAGCACATGCTCATCTTAAGCAACACAATTTCAGGATTAAACTGTTTGCAGAAGCCAGGCAGAACACTGTAACCCCAATCAGTGATGCGGTGGTTTCCACCCTTTTACCTCGCTAAAAGAAAAATAATGCTTTTTAAAATTAAAATTAGCTGATTTTTTTTCTGTGGATAATCAAGAGCCGTGATCTGACCTTTATCTCTATTCAATTGGAAGCCTCTGCTGCAATAACCTACTTAATTATTTAATTGACAAGGAAGCTTGCAATTAAATTATTAAGATCCTGGCCCAAACAAGGTCACAAGGGCACTGCTGGGAGGTAGTGAGAAGACCTGCTCTAGCCCTTCAATCAATGTAGCATTTTCACAGAAGGGCGATGCGCTCTCTGGAGATAGTTCATTACAGTGAACCTACAGTAAGACCTGTTAATAATATTTCACATAAAGGCCAGGGAATGGGGATCATTAAACATGAACACTGAGAAACCCTAAAGATGAACAGCCGCATGGATGTGAAGATTCAGATGTGTCAAGACTGCCATCACTGAGAGATTAAAGAAAATTAGACACACAAACAGGTTTTTATTGTGTAGACCCATAGCTTTTGGTTGGCATCAATATACATGCTTTAAGAGTGGAATTGGAAAGCTCTTTCACTGTTTACAATGATAGTTTAATAATGTTTATCCAACTGTATCTCATTGTTCCAGAGGTGTAGCAGATCCATAGCTGCTGTTCAGTAATTAGACAGCATTTTTGTACTAATGATGGAGAACTTGGTTACTTTGACCTTGATTTGCTCACAGCCTGTATCTGAGCAGGTGTTGAGAAAATCCAGCCTTCTGTGCCTAATGATGTTAAAGATACGCAGCATAGCGTAAAAAAAAATCAAATCTGTGCCCAAACTAGTCTTGTACAGTGAAGCCTGACTGAGATTTAAAATGTCTATATCAACCTGGGACGGAAAGTAATAGTTTTGGCAGGCAAAGCCTATGAAGTTTAAATGAGTATTTTTTGGGATGATACGAGCTCAGATGTAATGAAGCGTGGATATTCGTTTCCCACCAGTGTATTATGTGTTGTCGTTTAAACTGCAGTATAGGTCTAGCAGGCACACTGGAGGTGAGAAAACGCCAGTGATGATATACGGTACAGATGCTGTGTGTGCTAGAGAGAATGCCAGCCCATGTACACAGCCCTTTGTACATATACTGTAGGAGTTTCACCAAAGCTTGAACACATCATTTCCAAACTTCAGTCTTCCTGGAGCATGCTGCCAGACTGAAGGTTCCGATTCCGGAAAGCGTTCCGATTCGCGTTTCCCCTTCAGCATGAGCTGGAGGTGATTGAGAGCACTAGTTCTTTTACCTACAAATGTGAGTGTCATTCAGGAAAACATTGTTTTAAAAGTAAAATAACTTCAGTATCTTATGCATCCCTTATTTCCTCAAGATTGGTCTCTTTTCCACAGACGATCTTAATTATAGCTACACACTATTTCTTAATTTAAGAAGGGTGTCAGTTCTTGTCTGGCCCTATAGATTTGAAGTTCAGTTATATTTTATAGGGAACACAGAACTCTCTTTGCCATAATGGAAGGACACTGTCCCTGTACCATAACCCACATTCCAACACATTCAGACAGTAGTTGCTGTCTAACTGCTATTGCAATCATAACTTAATTATGCTATTTACTATTTACAAGAAACGTTCCTGTTCACACCCATTAGATAATGTGTATAGATCTCACTGCACTGCCACTCCTAATCAAAGGAGCTGCACTATTTTATAGCAGTGAAGGATTTATTGCTTGTGTTACTATCAGAATATTTATCAATCTGCTCTGGCAGAATTGTTTTTTAATCTGCTGTTTGATTTTGAAAAGGGCGTCAGGTTTCAAAAGCTGTTGCCTTGTGGCATTCCAGGCATTTTACTGTTGATGTAGGTGAAGAATTCTCTTTTCCATGTGCTGTGTTTTCTTGAGTTAGACAAATGAGCTAAGTCCCCATTGGAGGCCAGATGAAAAAGAAATTGGCAGCACTTCATCCCGACACAAGGGCATGAAGCAAAAGTATTTTTATGAAGTCAGCGTCTGTGTTTCTAAATGTTGCCGACCACATCAAAATAAAAAAAAGTCTGTGTTTATCAGCCTCTGTATTAGTGCCCATTCAAATCAATACTCAATTTAAATGGCTGGGCAAAGTGTCAGTAGCTGTGATGTGTGAAGGGAGTGGATTTCTGTGCTATGTGCTCATCTCCCAGGACATATCAAACTCTATGCAGTGCCCGTCACCTCTGGAAGTCTAATCTGTTGTGAGCATTTTAAACTAATATCATCACTTTGTTATTGTCCATAATAGCTGTATTATAAAACTGTCAGTTTCTATTAGGCAGACTCAGCTCAACACAGAAACAGGCACAGCTGACAGGGCTGGATGTAAGGGTCTTTGCCTTCAATCACAAGCGTCCCAATGCCAGAATTCAAACCTGTTTAGAATATGAAAAACCCTGAGCTCTACCTTCCATCCACATGGAAAGGTTTCTGGCCTCAGGGTCTGTGTGGAGGCTCAATGGTGCCTCCCACCCCACAGTCACCTGGAGCAGAGCCGCCTCCAAACCCATACTGCTCTTTCCTGGTGTCATCCAAGCGCGGAGCAGCCCTGTGCTCTCAGACACGCCTTCTGTCCTGGCCCTCCCCAAGACTAGCAGCTTCATGATATCACGTGGATGGATGGAAGTCAAAGTGCTAGACAAGACACCCTTCTTGACAAAGAAAGGAAAGAAGGGAAAATGTTAAATGAAACCCTCCTGTCACCACTGAAACACTGTATTCTGCTGGGATTATCGTGCCGTTATCTCTAGTGCTACACAATTGCTTGCACTAAGAGGATCACACATTAATTTTTATGTTGTGCAGTATTTTCACTGCATTTGCATTAATGATTTTGAAAACGGTAGAGAGACAGGTAGCTCTCTGAAGTGGGCTGAGGCACTGCATATTCAATATTGTACAAGACAAAAATGCAGGTAATGAAAATGAGAAGTGTCCTTTAGTTTTGGATTTAATGCTTTATCCCTCAGCCTTAATTTAAGTCTCTGGACATGATCATGTTTCTCAATTAAAGTGAAGAATGGGTCATTGATTGTTTTAAACCTACAGCATTAATGAGACTTTGACTCGTTCCATGAAAGAAGAGAGAGACACTTGGTAGGTTAACGGTTTCATTTGTAAACCTAATCTTAATATTAA